TTTTTTTTTCCCCCCCCCCCCCGAATTACGAAAAATTCGTATATTTAATTAAAGACACGACATTCGTTTATAATAAATACTTTTTAAAAAGATACGGTTTAATTTATCTCCATAAATTATTCGATATCGAGTGAATTATAGGATTATACATTTAAATTTAAGTTAAAAAAAAAAAGAAAAAAAGAGGTTAAACCGACGAGGAATGGAAGGTTTGTGTTGGTGGCGAGTATCACGCGCGGAAATTACGGAACGCATTGGATCTCGCGTCTGAATGAGCTCCCTTGTCGATGATAAATTGAATGTCACGCCACGAATTTTTATACGCCGACCAAGCCGCGTGTAACGTATAAATTATACCGAGGGCGGGTAAATTTCTAACGGGGAATTTCGTTTGATTTATATCCGTTTCGAACGACGATTCGATAAACGAAGAAGAATCGATAATAAAAGATAAAGAGAGAGAGAGAGAGAGAGAGGTAAAGAGAAAAAGAAAATACATTCCCCCGTTTTTCGAAAGAAGCAGAGATTTTTTAATTTAATCTCGAGAAGAACGAACGAACGAACAATTGTGATGGACGAAAGTTGTTTCTTTTTCTCTTTTTTGGAAATGAACTTAGAAGCGAGGAGATTATTTTGAAATTTTCGGCAACAGCCGGAGAGAGCGTGATGAATCATGTCGCGCTATTTATCGTGGGACACGTGTGGACAACTAATGAGCCGAGCTAACGAAACCTCATCTTGAAATTGCAACTGTAATCCCACTAAGTGGCCATGAAATTATCTCGACGGAACTTTCCTTCGTGGCGAATGATTAAACGGATTATTAATCGGTTAATCAATTCCGTTACAAAACTCGATACCCCTCGAATTTTTCTCAACTATGCTCTCGAAAAATTAAATCTTCTCGCTTCGATCGCCAATTATAACCCATCGAAACTCGTCGAAGGATCGATTTCTGAAACGAATTCTTTCCGTGAATATCAAGATCAACGTATTCGCTTCTATTTCATTAATGAAAACTTTCGCGATATCGTCGATCGCCGAAAACCAGTGATCGCCCGAGAAAGCGAGTGATCGAAGCGAGTGACACGCGCATAATCAACGTAAACGCTGTTTACGTTGGGGGAGGGAGAGTTGCAACATTGTTAATCTCGAGAAAGTTATGTCGAGTTAAAATTAGAGAGGAACACGCCAACATTACGTCTCCTCCGTTGATCATCTAACGCTTCGCTTTTATTTTTAGTGCTTGTATGGAGTTATGAGTCAGAAAATACCAAACAACTATGCTTGAAACCTCCCCATCCCCCGTTTTACAACCGAATTAACGCGTCGAAATTATAATATATCCGACTATCGTTCGAAATAATAAAGAGGAATCAGAATGTCGAAGAATTACGCGCGAAACGATCCTCCTCTCGTCTCGAATTACGATCGAACGTTTCGAAATTATTCTCCCCGAAATATATTCGAAATAACACGAGGACGGAACAAACGGAGCTATGCAACGGTGCATCCCGACGGGACAATTGGATTTTACGGATTTCGGACGGAAAATTTGATTTCTCCCTTCTTCCCCTTAAATTGTTGATTTAACCGAAAAATTTTCACGGGCAGGTGATTCGACTGATGCGACGGGACAACGGACCGATAATAATTCAACGTTTAATTATGATTCTGTCATTGGATCGGCTGCGATGCGTTGGTCGCGAGACCGCAAACTATACGCGGTTTGGATCGTTGCTGGCATCCTGGGTATCGTTGTATCACATCCAATCAGAAGATAGATCGTCGTGTCAGCCTCGAAACAAAGTCAAGAGCAGACCGTCGATATTTCATCGCGTCGGTTCACCTCGTTGAAAATAAAACCGCGAACTCTTCGCGCGTGTTGCGTCCACCGATACGATGAATTACGTAAGTCGTTCCGGGGGATGATTCGTCCACGAGAACGCGTTCCAATTGATCAATCTCTTCTTTGAAAAGAGGGAAACGAACGATTAGCTTCTTGCCTTCGTTATATTACGAGAAGAATTGAGAATCTTACGATTGCGAGAATTAATTTTTTTAAATTAATTTCCAACAGATTGTGATCCATTCTGTCATTTTTTAAGCCTCTCTTCTCGTTGATGGATTGAGAGAACGCTTTGCGGAACGTATTACTCTTTCTTCTCTTCCTCTGTCTTTGTCTCTTATTATCTTCGTCTTTACGAAGAGAAACATCGTTTTCTCGCGATGACGAGATATCGACGGCGAGAAGAGGAAGGCAGGTGACGAGACCGGTGAAAAGTTTTGCCCGTTAAACCACGAGCCACTGACACCGAGAATATTAAAAGATCTCCGCAGAAATGATAAATCCGAAGGAAAACTTTAATCGAGGAAAAGTCGGTGGTGAATCGCTCTTTGCGATTTGCGCGGGGCAAATGGCTGGGCCATTTATTTATTATTACTGAACGTGATATCCCTCCCCTCTCGGAAGAGAAGAAACCGCGACTTTGAAATCTCGGGGAGATTGTCTCCAAAGTTAACGAACTCGAAAGCGATATACGAGCTCTCTCCCTCCTCGAGGAGAATTGAAACGAGGGCTCTCGATGATTTCCGTAATCGAACACGTTCACAGTTTTTCGAAGAGGGAAGATTTTGAGGATCGTGCCGTTTGTTTCGACACCAACGATGACAATGCGATTCTTCATTCGCTCATTCGGATGAATAAACGAAGATCACCCGAACAATTGCACAAAACGAAATGTATATATATATATACATATTTCACTGAGAATACGCGAGACGATTTACGAAAGCGCGGCGAAGATGGACGGAAGTAGGAAGCTATGGATACTCGTCGTCGCACTTTCGAAACACCGATTCATTCGATCCGATCCGATCCATTTTTATATCCGGTGATGAAGACACGCGCGTTTATCGCGAATTGGCATGCGAATTTCGAAATCGCGGCGGAACGATTGAAAACGAGAATGGCGAGTGATCCGAGTTCAAGGACGCTCGACGGTCGGGAAAAGTGTCCTCGAGGACGACGATGGTGGAGCAGCACAGGGGGCAGAACCGACTGAGGAGGGATTGGCGTTGAAAGGGGATCGTGCTCGACGACACCGATGGCCCCATCGTACATCGAGGCATCGAGGAAGGAAACGGGACCAGGTGGAGGAGAGAGAGAGAGAGAGCTAGAGAAAGAGAGAGAGAAAGAGAAAGAGAGAGAGAGAGAGGGGTGCGAAAGCTCGGGCAGAGGATCAAGAAAAGACGAAGAAGGGGAGGAGGAGAAGGAGGAGGAGGAGGAGGCGGTGGAACAGAGCGACGAAGTAGCTGGCCAGAAATAACTAATAAGACATTCACTCTAAGACGGGCGGCCAACCGGCCCGGACGAACGCGGTGCGTCTCGGTATAATCTCGGTTAATCGTCACCTATTCTTATCACCACCCTCATCGACGCGATAACACTGCACAACCGTTCGTATCGAGGAAACGTGTGA